AGAATTTTGACACAAAGTTATACTCACCAAAAAGACTTTATTTTTGGCAAGCAACAGCAGCAAAAAAACTTTTTAAACAAGATGATAATCATGTTACATCTGCCTGCAAACTTCTTTATAAATATGAACAAAAAAATTTTCATCTGTTATTGGATATTGTAAATGAAGAAGTTATTGCTATTGGATTTGCGACACCATTAATTAATAAAATCAATAATCATAATATTATAATTAGTGAAATTTATTTTGATGCTACTTACAAGACATCAAAAGGTCGATTTGAACTTTATGGTGTCGTAGCTGATATTAATGGTAGTGGATTTCCTATTGCTTATTTTGCATTAGATATTAGCAATGCAACAAATACTGGACAATGTTGTGATATGTTGGAATACTTTCTCGAAGCTATCAAGTTAAAGAAAATTAATCCAAATTTCATTTTCACAGACAAGGATTTTGCAGAAATTAATGCTGCTGAGAAGGTGTGGGGTTCATCAATCGTACAGTTGTGTATTTGGCATATGGATCATGCATTAAAGCAAAAACTACGTGAAAAAGGAAAATCATCATCAGAGAGATGCTCACTTCAAATACGATATAATGTTAAACAAGCCCATGAGGAGTTCAACTTTATAGCTCTTACCTTTGTTCCAACATCTGATAATTATGATCCAACAACATATATTATTTGTCCAGATATACAGCAAAAAACTGTTCTTGAAATAATTCAAAAGCATTTTAATCAGCATCCTTTTTTTCCTGTAAATAAAAATGGAATGATGCTTAGTGCAGAAAATATTAGACAAAATGCAGTTAAAGAAATGTATGACTTCTGTGTGACTAATGAATTAAAACTATTATGGACATATTTATGGACATCGTGATATTCTCCAAACTGTTGGCACCTGTGGGCAAGATCTGCAAAATTAACAATATCATTTAGCAAAACGACAATGAAGATTGAAGCTCACTGGAGTGTGATTAAATGATTATATCTTCACAGATTTAATCGACCTCGGCTTGATTTACTTTTTTGGACTCTATTCAATGAAGTTATTTCTCAACAACTTGATCATTTCTGGCAACTTATGAACAATATCCAAATGCCATGATGGTGAGAGGACTTTAAAAAAGATTGGACTTATGCTGGAGCAACAGAGGAGGAGCGTGCAAAATTAAAAGCCAAAGAGAGAGTAAAAAGCAAAAATAAATATATCTCAAAACAAACTACAACTGAAAAATCTGAAGAGTATTATACAAATATTATACAATGGCTGTGTAGTTGTCCAGCTTACTTGCAAAGTCATTTTCTACTTTGCAAACATCTAGTTAGACAAGTCATCGAGATGCCTAATGGTAAGCGTAGATGTTTGCTTTATAATGACTTTGAACGTCGAACAACCCCATCCTTTTTTGTGTTCTCGAATATGAAAAATTATAATATTATTATTCCAGCTACTATCACTAATGCTATACAAGTTAATAACGTTATGCATATTAACATTGAAGAAGATCCGGAGCAAGATCTCAATATCAAAGTAGAAGCATTGTGAACACGTTGGTGTGAAATGTATAATCATCTCAAGACTGAGCTACAAGCAAACAATCTAAAACATGTTCGTGGAGTGTTGCAATCAGCAAAACATATTTTTAGAATGCTGGATGATATTGAACAGACCAAAAGAAAAAGGAATCACATGCTTACCTGGTCACCATCCTCAATGAAGTCTCATCTTATGCACTTGTACGTCGATGAAAAATGCAGCAGAATGAGAAATGAAAAACGTAAACGAAAGGAAAATGATGAAACAAATGAAGTACTGGATAAAAGATTTGCTACAAAAAACGAATAATAACAATGCTAATATTATATATTATATCCAAAAATAAAATAAAAGTATATAATTAAACTTCCAGTGAATTTGTTTTTTTAATATTTGAGATAGCGGGTCAGATAGTGAGTGCAATTACAATATTTATTATCAAGTATACCTTATATAAGATCAAATCTGAAATAATGCTACCTAACCAATTCACTAATTGCTTTTGGCACCATATTAATTACCTTTGGTGTCCATGTTGATTGCCTTTGGCATTCACATTGATTACCTTTGGTATTCACGTTTGCTTGCCTTTGGTGTCCACGTTGGTTACCTTTGACATTCACGTTGCTTGCATTGGTTACCTTTGGCATCCACGTTGCTTGTGTTGGTTGCCTTTGATTTCCACGTTGGTTGCATTGGTTGCCTTTGGTGTCCACGTTGGTTGCCTTTGGCATTCACGTTGCTTGCGTTGATTGTCTTTGGCATCCATATTGGTTGTCTTTGGTATTCACGTTGGTTGCCTTTGATGTTCATGTTGGTTGTCTTTGGTGTCCACATTGGTTGTCTTTGATATTCATGTTGCTTGTGTTGGTTGCCTTTGGCATTCACGTTGGTTGCCTTGGTTGCCTTTGGTGTCCACGTTGGTTGCCTTTGGTGTTCACGTTGATTGCCTTTGGCATCCACGTTGCTTGTGTTGGTTACCTTTGGCATCCACATTATTTGTGTTGGTTGCCTTTGGTATCCACGTTTGCTTTGGCATCCACATTGCTTGTGTTGGTTGTCTTTGGTATTCACGTTTGCTTTGGCATTCACATTGCTTGCATTGGTTGTCTTTGGTTTTCACGTTGGTTGCCTTTGACATCCACGTTGCTTGTGTTGGTTGTCTTTGGTTTCCACGTTGGTTGCATTGGTTGCCTTTGGTGTTCACGTTGGTTGCCTTTGGCATTCATGTTGCTTGCATTGATTGCCTTTGATATCCACGTTGGTTGCCTTGGTTGCCTTGGTTGCCTTTGGCATCCACATTGGTTATCTTTGGTATTCACATTTGCTTGCCTTTGGTGTCCACGTTGATTGCCTTTGGTGTCCACGTTGATTGCCTTTGGCATCCACATTGGTTGTCTTTGGCATTCACGTTGCTTGCGTTGGTTGCCTTGGTTGCCTTTGGTGTTCACGTTGGTTGCCTTTGGTATTCACATTGCTTGCGTTGCTTGCGTTGGTTGCCTTTGGTGTTCACGTTGGTTGTCTTTGGCATTCACGTTGCTTGCGTTGATTGCCTTTGGTGTTCACGTTGGTTGCCTTGGTTGTCTTTGGTGTCCACGTTGGTTGCCTTGGTTGCCTTTGGTGTCCACGTTGGTTGCCTTTGGTATTCACGTTGCTTGCATTGGTTGCCTTTGGCTCAACATTGCGTGCAAGCAAAAATAAAAAAGAACAAAAATAAAAATCACCTACAAAATAAAATACAGAAGTTAATAATCACGACCTAGAGAAAATATAAAGAAAAATGGATAATAATTGAGAATAACGCTAAACGAGAAGGGAGATGAAACAGCAATGTTGGCGATGACTAACTAAAGATAAATATGTAGAACAAAGGAAACAGGAATATTACAAAAAGAACAAAAAGCAAAATAAAGTTTATTGTTATTATATTGTTATTAATATTAATGTGTAATTATACAATTCCGACCGATGATGATCATTGGTAGTATGGGTCAGATTTTCTGGATCTGTAAAAGTGTAGTACCTCCTGATAGAGTCCAGCAGAAGAATCAGGAAGAGATTGAGATAAAGATAAGAATAAGAAAAATTCTGAGAAAGAATATAAAGATGAGGAAAAAAATACTTCACATTATGTAAGCTTTAATATTTCAGTAATAAATTTTATTTTAGATTTAAATATCATATTTAATTAATTTCTTTTATTATTATAATAGAGATAATTATCAAATAAATTTAATTTTATATTTAGTTAATTTCTTTTACTATAGAGATAATTATCAATATGTATTATTATAATTATTATAAAATAAATAAAACTTTTATTTTTAATAAATTTAATTGAATATTATATTTATTTGTTTATTTATATATTATATATATTTAATATTATACACTAAATAAATTATCATTATCAGATCAAGAATTATCATCTTGATTATGCTCTTGCACTTGCTCTTGTTCTTCATCATTATTATTATCTTTCATATTTAATTCAACATATATTGAATTCACTATCATTTTTGATGAAATACCATTTGAAAAATCATGCTATAATAAAATAAAATTATTAAAAATAAAAAATTAAAATTAATTATTAGTGAAATCTTACTATATATTTATTTATACAAAGTTTAATCTGTTTTTTATTACAAATAATTTTCACTAAATGCAGATTTAGATAAATATCACAGACAGCTAATGTGAAAATACAATGTGCATGTGATAGTATTGGAACTGCTAACTTTGAGAAGGTAGATCTTGCAATAGCTATTACTCAATAAAAATTATCATTATTTATTTCGAATAGGAATAAAAAATAATTGATTACATTTACATTTTTTTTATTCTACTATATCTGCTAAAAAGACATAATATTTTATTTGTAATAATCTTTTCATACCAAAAATATATCATCTCAATGATCTGATATTTGACAATGCGATCTCACAATAATTTTTAATTTTTAATAATAACTATATGTATATAAAATAATTTATAATTATTTAAAAATAATAAATAATATAACTTACCTGATTGTTCTATTTACTATAGAAATAATTAGTAAATTAATTATCTAACATGTCTGCTATATATTCAGGTTGATTTTTATTTAGGTAATTTTTAACACATTTTTCAGTTTATTTTGCAAAGGATATAAATTGATTAAAAAGAATTGCTTAGCTATACTTACAAAGTATAATTATAAATTTAAAATATCAATATAAATTGATTTGATTTTTAATTTAAAATATTGATTATAATCGATTTAACTTGATCTAATTTTACAATCATGAAAAACATATATCAAAAACTCATAGTGAAAGTTCTTTTTTTTATTATTACGCTGTTTTTTTATTTCATTCTTAATATTATATAAATCATTACTAAGTTTTTTTATTAGAAGATATAACTCTTTATGTTGTCATGATATGACATTTGACGAACAATCTTATTGGATAAGATTTATATCTATTATTATTGGATTATATATATTAATATTTCTATTGGATAGTTATTTTTAGATAATTATTATCTTATTGGACAATTATATGTTAGATATTATTGGTTCTTAAGTTTGTGTTAACACCAGCAATGACAGCAACGACAGCAA